TGTTGATCGTTTTTGTAAAAACCAACAACATAGAGCTTCTTCTATGAGTTCATTTTTCGGTCTCTTCACCATATTTCGATTTTCACTAAAGTAGTGAATCTGCTAGAATCCATCAAGATATCTATAATGAAGTGAATTCTAGATGGAATGTGAATTACTTTAATTCTGGTGGAAATGGCGCTCATTAAACCATATGATTTAAAAGAAAAAAACTTCGTATATGCTTCTTATTTGCATGATAGCTCACTCATTTTACACGTAAAAAACTTGTAACAGTACTCATTTTAAAGCTTATGTTGAGCACTAAAAAACCCAATTTCACCGAAATGCATAAAATGTAAAACCTCGACACTAGATGGCTTTAAATACAACAATTAAATCTTGAACGAAATAAAAAAAAACGACTTTGCTCTTTCAAATCTTGCTTAATATTATTCCTAGAACACTTTATGTAATACCGATTTATTAAGATTTTTATTGACATTATTTTGTTCATTACATGATTTTTGTTAAAATGTATATTTTAGGAGATATTTGCAAAAAAACGAAGAAAGACGTCAAAAATATATGAATCTTTAGTGGCCAGTAACTTGAAAAGTATTAGTTTTTAAAAACTATAAAAGGCATTTTATTCTTATAATTAGTTCTTCTATCGATTTCCGACGTTATTTTGAAAAAATGTAATTACGCAATTGAGAAGGGGTGAAGACCCCCGCGGGGTGATGGCGCAACCCGAATTGTTTTCGCTTTTGAACTTGGGGCTAAGATGAACCTAATTCCAAAATTTCATTCAATTCGGAGCACAGTAAAAAAATTCAGACCTAAAACGCTCCGTTTACTGCACTAGTTTGAAAACTGTGTAAGTGTATCCTGAAAGTTAAATTTTTCGAATTTTTGATAATCCCGAAATACCGGTATTATTGTATCAATACCGGTATTGAATACAGGACAAAAATCGTCCGGGATCCCGGTATTCGGGATTACGATATCCCGGTATTGTAAGCCCTAGTCGCCCTAGTCGCCGTTGCGACTGCGCCGGTAAGGGATGATGCGGGCGCAGGCGCCGCACACGGGAGCGCTAAGCGTGGGCATTTTAAAAGATCAACACGAGGAAAATATCGGAAGAGAAAAGCGTGGGCTTTTTGAAAAGGACACGGCGGTATTAATTTGGTTTAGGTGCTGTTTTAGTAGACGCGAGCATAAATGTTTATTTGCTTTATATTGACATGAGAAATATGGTTATTTCAAAAAATCAAACTTCAATTAATCTTGCAAAATTTACATCTTGAGTTTTATTTTTAACTTTTCATACCGCAAGCTTTAATAATCACAAAAAAATCAAGAATGAAAATTTTTACACATTAACTTCCCGTAGGGTAAGTTATTGTAATCGTCCAAAAATCGAAATTGAAAATTATTGTCTCATTCACGTTTTGAAAGTTTCTAAACATTTTGACATACCTTCGTAAAAATGGTTGTGTGTGCATGTATGGATACAATTTTTTGTCCACGTTTTCAGGCGCAAGGATTAACCAATTTGAATGATTCAAAAAATATTCGATTGCTATTAATACGGAGCTGTTTTAGTAGACGCGAACATAAATGTTTATTTGCTTTATATTGACATGAAAAATATGGTACATTAACTTTTTTTTCATAAGTTCAATTAATCTTGGAAAAATTTACTTCTTGAGTTTTATTATTAACTTTTCATACGGTAAGTTATAATAATCACAAAAAATCAAGAATGAATATTTTTACATATTAACTTTCCGTAGGGTAAGTTATTGTAATCATCCAAAAATTGAAATTGAAATTTTTGCATTATTCACATTTTTAAACATTTTGGCATTCACTTTTGAAAGAATGGATATGTGTATATGTATGGATACAACTTTTTGTCTACGTTTTCTGGTGCACGGATTAACCGATTTGAATGATTCAAAAAGCATTCGATTTCCATTGATAGGGAGATGTGCTGATTAATTTTTGGCAAAGCCAGGTCCAGCCGTTTCGGAGACACAAGGCACAGAGTGCAGAAAACAAAAAAAAAGTTTTTTTGAAGTTTTTTTAGCGGAGCAACCGATTTGAATGATTCAAAAAACATTATCTCCGCAACGGCTAGACTTGCCTTTGTCTAAAATAATCACTACTTCTCCCCATTACTACGAAATGAATATTTTTTTAAACGTTTCATGTCAGATGCCCGGTTCTCGCAAAAAACGAGTTTCCATTTTCTGCACTCTTTGCTTCGTATCTCGGAAACGACTGGACCGACCTTCCCCAAAAACTAATAATCAGCACTAATCCCCATTAGTGAGAATCGATCGCCTTTTCAATCATTCAAATCGGTTGAGAGGTACACCCGAAAACGTCGACGAAAAATTGTATCCACACATACACACACACACATTATTTTTTCTGAGGTGTGCCAAAATGCTCAGAAACTTCTAAAACATGAAGATATGCAAAAATTTTCATTTTAAATTTTTGGCCCAATACTATATCTTACCCTACGAGAAGTTATTTAATAAATCGGGGACTGTTTGAAAAAAGGGATCACTTTACAAGAGAGAAGTCTATTAAGATGATTTTCTGATAATTTCAAGTAAATCGGCCCAATAGAACTCGAGGAATTGTGGACATCGTATTAAAGTTTCGCAAAAGGAAGGAAACTGGCCAGGATTATTATGGCTATATCTTCGAAAATAATTTAAATTTTTAAAAAAAATTAATATTTAAACTTTGGAAATATGAAACAATAGAAAAAATGAATTTTGAACTTCTACGCCAGAATACTCAATTAAGGCAGAATGCTACATAAATTAATTCACTTAAAAATTTTATTTTTGTTTTGTCTATATAATATAACGGTCAAGTACATCGTTTAATGAAAACTGACGATAAAAATTTACAGCAATTACAAGGAACCATTGTTCAAAATTTTAAATAAAATCTTTCGGAGCATATAATTTGTATGTTTTGCTTCTTGTCTTCAACTCATCCAGCTTATCAAATTTGCGTTGAATTCTGCGATTTTATTTTCATTACTTTGAAATGCATGTTTTGGTTTGTTCATATTTCAATATAACATGAAATTGGTCAACGTCCTCCAGTACAACTTGACAGGATCTTGTAAGCTTATCCGAATCATAAGAGGTGATGTCCTTTAGTAAATTCCTAAACATTTTATTTAATTACTAGAGTGATTTTTATCTGACAATTAATTATTATACTATCAAAAACAAACACTCTTTCCAAATAATTGAGATGTTTTTAATAAATGTCGCGGGCGTGGGATTCGAAATGTGAAGATGTGGATACGCACATACGTTTGGTACTATCATGTTACATGATATTTACAGTAAATGTCGCGTGGGTAGTGATTTATATTACAAAAACGATATTATACTTTCAAGAGATATCATGGAAGTCGTAACAGGTGATTATTTATACTTGCAATTAGTGTTACCTACAAGAAGTTAGATGATGGCCATATGATAGTACTTTAAGTCTTTTTTTTTAATTATATGATGAATTTTACACTTGTCCTGAAATGGCATAGAAGTAAAACTGCATGAATATAAAAACGGGTAAAATACAAATTTCTTTTTCAATTTTGACCTGGTAGTTTTGCGGCGTTAGTTACATTACAAGTGATAGTTAGGATGATCTTCGAGGTAGTTTTTCTAACTTTTAACATCCCGTAGGGTGAGTTATAGTAATCGCAAAAAATAGAAAATGAAATGTTTTGCATATCTTTATTTTTCAGAGGTTTTTAAACATTTTGACAAACTTTATAAAAAATGGATGTATGTGTGTGTGTGTGAACGGATACAAATTTTTGTCGACGATTCAACTAATTTGAATAATTCAAAAAGCATTCTATTTGTATTGATAAGGAGACGTGCTGATTAGTTTTTGTCGATGACAGGTCTAGCCGTTTCGAAGATACCAGACAAAAAGAGCCATAAATGGTAATTCAGTTTTTGGGAAATGGCACTTTATGGATCAGAAACATGGACTCTAAGAAAGCGAATAAAAACATGAGTAGTAAATTAAATGCATCAAAAAGTGGAAGGGATAGAACTTTCTGGTTAAAAAGAGGAAATTGGATTACTGGTTCCATAAAGGTAAAACAATACCATATAAAAAAATTAACAAAATAAGAACTGTTTGAAAAAAGGGATTATTTTTTCACCACTTCTTGAGTTTCACCATTTTTTAAAATTTAAAAAAAATAATAATAAATATTGAACTTTGGGTGTGAGAGAGATTAAGAAGATTTTCTGATAATCTTAAGGTGAATGCACTGAAAGAACATATATAAGTAAAGAAATAAATTAAAAATTACATACAATGCAAGTAACAATCATTTTTTAGTCGCAATCAAATAAAAAAAATATTTCCCATACCGGGAATCGAACCCGAGCCTCCTGGGTGAAAGCCAGGTATCCTAGCCACTAGACCATATGGGAGTTGTAATACAAACCATATCTACGTGGTTTTATATCCAACATGTTATATATTGCTATAAATATATTAAAATATTAAAAAAAATTATATTAAAACATTAATAATTCACTAAATACATAAAATTTATCGCGCGTATGTAATTTTAAACCGTTTTTCTCAAATAATTCTTCATTCCTACTGTTAAATTTAAATTTACCGCCCTATGTTCTCTGAAGTTGACAGCAGTACAGCTAACATAAGCATAACCTAAAAACCAGTTCATTATGGAACGTCAAAATCATATGGTGCAAAAAATACGAATTTTATCATAAAAATCCATTATCTTGGCAATTACGATTGCCGAAATGATCGCAACGAACTGAAATTCATAATAATCAATTACAAATGCATCGTGATATCTTTTAATTTCGTTAAAATATCGATTCTTGATTAGTGCATGCAGTAATGAGTTCGTCGTATCTATTACGAATTATTATGTATTTTAAGACATGCAAATTTATATTAGTCGGTGACATTTTCTGATCATGTGGCGAATGAATTATAAACTTTTATTTATATTATGCATATTTGTATTTGTCATCACTTTTTCTTTGTGGAGCAGCTGTGGAAATATTCCTATAGCAGGTGGGTTGACATCACATGGTAATTGACATAGTAATTTAATAATTTACTTATTTAGTACTTTACTTATAAGTACTTATTTTGAATCGTATGTGCCCCTAATTGAGTAAATAATTTCATTACAATGGCCATCTAACTTTAAGTGAAATAGCTAAAAAAAATCAATGATGGTATCGATAGATTCTCATTGAGAAACCTTCTCAGTCTGATAAGTCACAATTTATATTTATAGTTAATGTATTTATAAATGTATAACGATGTAAAAGATGTACTGAATAATATACCAAAGCCATACTATTTGCAATACTATAGTGGCTCAAATGCATTTGACACAAATATAAATATTATATAAATCAATCGCTATTTCACACGGCAGAGCAAATTTTATTGCATTGTAAAAGCCATATGTTTACTCTACTGAAATAATGTTTGCAAGAGCATTCTGTGGATTATGTGGTTTAATTAGTTTTGTTTCACATTTTTCAGATTTGTACTCACGTCCCAACTCGGATGATAATTCTGTATCATATCAACTGAGAGGAATTGAGTGCCATATCAACAATAATGAAGTGATCGATTGCAGAAAAGATAAAGATGAAGTGTTCATACCATTTTCTTTTATAAAAAAATATTTTGAGGTACTTAACTTATTTCAGTAACATCGCAAAATCATATTCAACAAAATTAGTGCTGTAATTTATCATATAATGATGTTTATTTTATTATTTGCTCATGGGAATAGGAAATTTTTATGTTATTTAAATGAAATATTTTTTGTATATATTATCTTATTAGGGTAAGTTATAGTAATCGCAAAAAAATCGAAAATGAAAATGGGTTTCTGAATATTTTGGTATACCTTAGAAAAAATGGTTGTGTTATATTTTCGTCGACGATTTCGAGACCACGGATCAACCGATTTGAATGATTCAAAAAACATTCGACTCCTATTGATGGGAAGACGTGCTGATTAGTTTTTTGCAAAGGCAGATCTAGCCGTTTTGGAGATACGGAGCAAAGTTTGCTAAAAATAGTCAAATTCAATTTTTGAGAGAACAGAACGTCCGATTTGAATAATTCAAAAAACAGTTTACTTGTAGTGACAAGATGAAGAACTGATTAGATTTTCAGGAAGGCAGGTCTAGCGGTTTCGGAGATCTAGTGAAAAAAGTAAAAAAAAATGCCATTTGGCGTTCAAAAATGATCATTATACATATGCACATCATATTATCAGATGGAGATTTTAATACGTATAATTTTATTTAATTTAAATGTTATCGTTTGTCCGTTAGTCGACGAAGCGGCGCTTACGCGCTTCGATATTCGTCTCTATGCAGTTAAAGTAGTACGATTGCTTTGAGAAAAAAGTTCAGAATTTAAAAAATATGGCAAAATAAAGAAAACATTATTTTTCTTAAAGTCTTTTTTCCGAAAAAAATAAATTTTTGTCAAAAATTTAATTTTTCTCAAAAATCTATTTTTTTTAAAGTAAAATTTTTTCAAAAATGTTATTTTTTTTAAAAAAAAAAATATTTTTGATACGGGAAGTACCAGCAATTCGCCTTAAGGCACGATGCCATGCATCACTAGTTTTATTATACAATCAAAGAACCCTCTGACGCGACACGATGACCAATCAATCGACCCGTATAAAAATGATCTCATCGAGAGCGAATGACGAATCATTGGCACTCGACTCGGCCGTAACGCACCTCCGTTGCATTTTTACAGATTTACTCCCTTGTCGCGCATAAAAGTTTTACTTCAAAATTTAAAATTCTCAAAAATCTATTTTTGTTAGACAAATCATTGGTACTCGGCTCGGCCGTAACGCTTTTCCGTTGCATTTTCAAAGATTTACCTCCTAGTCGCGCTTAAAGAAGTTTTACTTCAAAAATTAAAATGCTCAAAAATCTATTTTTTTCAGTTTTCAAAAAATGTTGAAGTTATTTTAAATTTTCGGTACGGGAAGTGGCAGTAATTGCCTTAAGTCACGATGCCATGCACCACTAGTTTGTATCAGCATAACTAGTATTTTTTAGTTGTTATACGATTAATAATTAATTATTACAATTTTTTTTCTTCCAGATCAATGGAAAACTATCCCTAGTAGACGGCGTTCAGCAATTCGATTGGTCTCACAGCTTTAGTAAAATCTACATCCCTAAAGGCAAATATGACCCCAGAGGAATTTTCATGCATTTCGAAAATTACAACGTCGAAATACGAGACCGCGTAAAATGCATCTCTGCTATAGACGGAGTCCCCATTTCCACGCAATGGCAAAGCCAAGGATACTATTATCCCACTCAAATAGCTCAATTCGGCTTATCTCATTACAGCAAGAACCTGACTGAGCCCCAACAAAGAAAGACTATTGTAGAAAATGCAAATACAATCCGAGCTGATTGGGTTATACCCCCACATTCCAAATTAGAAATAGATTTAGATGACAGAAATAATAGAAATAAGATATTAAAATTTTACTGTGATGATATAGTTGATAATGGAATAGTACTTAAAATGGATCATGTATTGGATTTAGTTATGGGAGTCGATATACTTCTGAGGAATAATGGCAGCTTGAAAATTGTTCTTCAGAATCGGGAGAATAAAGATAATTATACGCTTATTTATGTGGCTAGTGACATCCTGATATCAGCCCAGGTAATAAATGACATTTGTATGTATTTTATTTTTAACTTCCCGAAGGAGAAGTTTATTTCCGTTGATTAAATCAGTTATTACACCTATCGGGAGCACTTTCAACTAGTTATAAATAATATTTGTTCCAGGATGATGTAATATATCACGGTATCGGCCAAGCCAATACTTGGAAACATTTAACTAGAGACTTAGTTGTAGATTTACAAAAAGGACTTGCTTTATTATATCAAGATAAATCTAGGAAAAAATTATCAAAGACCAAAATTAAGGTAAGATAATTGTAATATACATTATAAAGGTTGCATTATTATTATTAAGGTTATTATAAAGGTTGAATTATTAATATTCTAGATAACTTCAATCAGTCTGCTGGGAGATGGCCAATTAGATAATTTAACATTAGCTTCGAGTGAACATATCACTCAGTTTTATGCAGCTGCCGAATGGTTCATTAATAACCAGGATGCTTCTGGTGGATGGCCCAATGCGGTCAAACGTAGAGTTGCATCTGGATTTGAGGAGCTACAGAACGGATGGTAATAATAATAATAATAATTTTTCTACATTATTATTGTCAGATCTAAAAATTTGTCAATTATTTATATTGTACTTATTATTTTGTCAGGTATTCGGCCATGGGGCAAGGACATGCAATTTCAGTTCTTGCAAGAGCCTATTATCATTCTAATGGCGATAAGCGATACCTGAATGCAGCCCTGGCTGGATTGAGACCTTTTAGAGTTCCCTCTTATCAAGGAGGAGTACTTGCCACATTCTTAGGAAAATATATATGGTATGTAATAAAAAATCAATCAGTTTTTTATCTTGTCAATACATGTGAATTGTTTTTTAACTTCCCGTAGGGCAAGTTATAGTAATCGCAAAAAAATCGAAAATGAAAATTTTTATATATCTTTACGTTTCAGAGGTTTCTGAATATTTTGGCATACCTTAGAAAAAATGGATGTGTGTGTGTGTGTGTGTGTGTATGTATGTGTGTGTATGTAGTGCGGATACAAATTTTCGTCGACGATTTCGGGAACACCGATCAACCGATTTGAATAATTCAAAAAACATTCGATTCGTATTGATAAGGAGACGCGCTGATTAGTTTTTGGCGAAGTCAGATCTAGCCGTTCCGAAGATACGGGGCAAAAAGTGCCGAAAACGGTAACTCAGTTTTCAAGAGAACGGAGCGTCCGATTTTAATAATTCAAAAAACATTTTACTTGTATTGACAAGGTGAAGAACCGATCAAATTTTCATAAAGGCAGGTCTAGTGGTTTCGGAGATCTAATGAAAAAAGTAAAAAAAAAATGCCATCTGTAGGTCAAAAATGATCATTAGACATATGCACATCAAATTATCAGATATTTTATGGAGATTTTAACAATCAGTATAATTTTGGTTTACATTCCTATGGGTTCCGTACCAATGTTTACGCGTTAGACGTCGACGCGGCGCTTACGCGGTTTGATATTTCGTCTTTATGCAGTTAAAGCAGTACGATTGCTTTGAAAAAAGTTTAGATCTTTCAAAATATGTAAAAATAAAGAAAACATTTTTTTTTTTAAAAAAAATTAAAAAAAAAATTTTTTTTCAAAAAAGAAAGTAATTTTTTGTCTAATTGTTTGTCAAAAATCTTATTTTTTCAAAGTAAATTTTTTTCAGAAATGTTAATTGTTTTTAAAAAAATAATAATTTTTGGTACGGGAAGTTCCAGCAATTTGCCTTAAGGCACGATGCCTTAATTGCCTTAAGACAGAATTCCACTTACAGCTAGTTGTATTATTAAAATCGAACCTTTTTCATTTAGGTTCGAAGAATACCCTACTTCGCCTCCCTCATTTGTACTGAACGGTTTCATCTACTCTCTTCTCGGTTTATACGATCTCAAGACTCTAGCACCCCGAGGTGAAGCTAAGGAAGCCACTCTTCTATTCAACGAAGGTATGTTGAGTTTAAAAAATATGCTTTTGCTGTATGATCTGGGATCGGGCACCAGCTACGATTTAAGACATTTTACATTGAAAGTTGCTCCTAATGTTGCTCGATGGGACTACCATGCGACACATGTAAATCAGTTGTTGTTATTGAGCACTATTGATGCGGATCCACTTTTGGCAACCACTGCCGAAAGATGGATGGGGTATATGAGTGGGAAAAGAGCGGCTCATAATTGATAATTGTAATAAAGGTCTTATTTTTTGTCATGCGTTACACTCTCAAATGCATATTATATTAGGTTGTCAAATATCTCCCTTCCGCTTTTTTGCTCTTGGTTTATAATACAAAAAGGCGGAAGGGAGATATTTGACAACCATTTATATACTAGGGTGGTCCTTAATATGTTTATTTTCGAATTTTTTTGCTGCCTTTAACATAGTTCGCACTCCAACCAAAATTTCTTGGTTCTTTTTCCTAAGTAAATACTTATTTTGTGAAATATGACAAATTTTTGTTGTATTTTTTTTTATTTATGATCAAAATAAGCAATTACAATATTATGCTCAAAATTTTGATTCACTTGTCGCTAAGTTATAAAATTCCAAAAAACAAATGAAATTTTATCTATGTTATTTCCATAAGAAACTTTGGTTCGAGTGCGGACTATCTTAAAGTTAATATTAAGTGCTAAAATTTTCAGGAAATTGTTTTTTATCAATTTGGAAGCATTTGAGCCCCTGGGAGCAAAGAAATTCGAAAACATCCATATTAAGGACCACCCTTATACGTATATACAGGGCCGGTTCTGGAGTTCTCAGCGCCCACAAGGATTTTTTTTCTAGCAACCCCTGCCCTTATTATTTTAACTGTTTTAACAGTTTATCATTAGAATTATATGAACATTTACGTTAATTTTTTTAAATACATTTTAATAATTCTGGATTTAGTACACAAAATTAGATATAATCTTAAAGCGCAGAAAATACATTGATTTTAAATTATTATTTATTATAATCAAATTGTTGACAAAACTAGTTTAAATTTTTTTTTTTCAATTCTAACTTATTAGGACATCTAAAAATTTCAGTATGTTCATTATTGCTTGCAAGAATACTTTTAAATTTTCAATTACTTCTAATGCAAGTGTAATATTATTTGGCTTTTGAAACTATTTATTTTGGGGATTTTATGCGATTTATTCTATTGAGCAAATCAAAGAGAGCAAAAAATTCTGTTACCTTTCATTATTAAACATAACCATAACATAACACTGGTACTTCATGTTCGATTATTTTAATTTAATTTTTAATTAATTTAAATTTTCAAAATTGCATCGTAATTTTTTGTTTCCACTGAATGAAGGCTAGGGTTATAGCCGAAACGTATGGACATAAAATAAAGCTTTGAAAGAAATTCATGTTTTTATTGATGTTATGTACAATTACTAGACCTTGTTAATACATATGTCAACATCAAATTCAGAATCATACATATATACATTAGCGTGGTCCTTAATATGGACATTTTCGAATTTTTTTGCTCCCAAGGGCTCAAATACTTCTAAATTAATTAAAAAAATTCTCTGAAAGTTTTAGCTCTTAATATTAACATTCAGATAGTCCGCAATTCAATTAAAACTTTCATTTTCTTCAACAAATATAATTAAATAAATTTTTGCGCCATCTGTGATAGCATTTGTGAACTTAAATATTATAACACTTAAAAATATTTATAAATCACTTATCCTTTAATTAAATTCATGTGGAGTGTTTAACGAAATATTTATTCATTACGGCATCAATATCAATTTTGCAGCAAAATATTTATTTATTAGGTGATTTTGACGCTAAAATTATCAGTAATAATTTGCCATCATAGTTATAAGTTTGCTATCACAGATGGCGCAAGAATTTACCTAATGATATTTGTTAATAATAAATATATGAAATTTTTAATTGAATTGCGGACTATCTAAATGCTGATCTTAAAAGCTAAAACTTTTAGACGATTTTTTTTTATTAATTTGGAAGCATTTGATCTTTTGGGAGCAAGGAAATTCTAAGGACCACCCACCACATAAAATAAAATACAGAATTCTCTAGTGCATATTTATTGCATTATTTAACTGCAACTTGTTCATTTATTGTAATATATAAGAGTATTATTATTAAGTCAATTTAATTATTAAACCGACTAACACGTACCTTTAACGATTGAAATATATTTACTCGAATAATCTGTTTTATATTAAAATAATTTTATATAGTGAAAATTTGTAGTTGAATTTTATATCTAAATTAGAATGAGTATCATCATGTAGATCTTTTATAAATGATCTTTAGGTTAGAGGAACACGTTTACTGACTTTTTACTTATTATAAATATTAGAATAGTATAGTTTTTTTTATTAACAAATACTAGAACTGAAGACATCGTTTATACTTTTCTGGAAAATTAATGACGTATACTGAAATTTCATTAAGTTTTAAAACAACACATGTAAACTTATGCCTCAAGTAAAAAAAACGATCAGAATTTTATATTTCTTTTTAGTTTAATTAGTATATTAGGGGTAAACATAGAACAAATGTGCTTTTATATGGTCAAATTTTGTCTCATTCGATTCAGAATGGCTTGAAACGTCGTGAAAACATAAAATTAGCGAATCGGATTTTTTGATGAAAACAAAAACAAAACAAACACAACTTTTCCATCGGGAAGTCAAAAATCAAAACATATATTTTATTTCTGTATTTCCTCGATTAATTCTTTATGTGCCTTTCTCAATTTTTTTTTAATCAGTCGTTTGTCTATCGATAAAAAGTATTACATATATTTATAATATTTCCTTTAATTAAAATTATAGTGCAATTTAGAACTGTAAGTAAACATTTAAGATTATCGTAAAAGGACTGTTAACAGAATGATCTATTAAACTTAATAATTATGTTATTTCTTTTAATTTTAAATATATTAATTTGTAGTATTCTCATGAAGTGCAAAAACATGTTTATTTATAATGTAGAATTTAAATTAAGTTTTGCAGAATTTTAAGATTTCTCGTGAAGGCGGTATCATATCACAGTAAGATTTTAAATTACTTGGTTTTTGCATAGTCTGATTTATATTTATATATTGTATATACTTGTAATTAAGAAAAGTCAAAGGAATGTTACATTTACATGATGTTCGGTTTATATATTAGTGATATGATAACATAATTTTAGTTTTATAACTACAACTGATGCAATGAATTATAATTATGAATAAAATGAACATATGTTCAACGAGCACAATCTGAACAATAAAAAGTCAATTTAGAAACATGTAATATATTCTTGAATGTGAGAAAATAAAAAAAGTTTTTTTTGATTTGATAATATTTATCTTTGGTTTAGTGCATTGTGGTTCAAACTATTAGAACAATAATTTTAGTATATAAATTCAAGTTTTTAATAAAAATTATACGCGTTTATGTAATAATATCGTGAATTTTACGATTTCTTTAAAAAATGCAAAAAAATTCAAGTATATATTCACAAGCACAGTAGTAAAGTAAATAACTTAACAAATATATATTTATGATAATCATAAGTAAATATCTGCAATTGACAAAACCGAGATGTATTTTAGTATATAAGTTTCAAATTCTGAAACCTAATTTTTGATGAAAGTAAAAGAACTTTTGATTTTAAATTACTTTTACTTTTGTTCAAAAACAAATCTTCAAATAGAAATTATTTTTTATATAAGTTTTCTTTATCTTTAATTTATTGCCATATGTATTACGATTACGAACTGTGTTAAAATTACTGTAATTTATTTACTAAGTTATGAAATTATAATGCAAATATGAACACAAATTTGGATTACACGATTCAAATAAGAAAAATGTTTGAATCAAAATTTGCAAACCAATTGTGTTATCAATCCAATCTGAATTTTCTTTCAAAGTCTAATTCAAATAATTTCAAATATAATAATATTGATTAATTACACAGGTCAACAAAGAAAATGGTGCAAACGATTTTAATGCTGTTTTTAAGTATATTTGGGGCGCTGATTTCAAAAATGACATTGTTTTTTTTCTATGAGCTTTAGTTTTCAAGATATGATATGTATGATATATTTCACGATATTAGGTGCGCAACTAAGTTCTCGCTGTTTTTTCGATGAAAATGTAACTTTATTATAAAAAAATGCATCAATTGAGTTCGATACAGTTCTCCTGTGATGGTTTCACTCGGTTTTAACAGCTCATAACAAATAACACCGACCTGGTCCCACCATATGTAGAGCATAACCTTCGCAGTGAATATTCGGCCAAACCGAGATTTTCTCGTCTTTGGATTGCTGTAATGTGTTCATTTTTTATCACCTGTCACGATGTGATGAAGAACCTCTTCTTTTCTCGCCGCTGGAGCAGTTGTTTACAGGCGAAAAAACGACGCTCGACGTCTCTTGGCTTCAACTCACAAGGAACCGAAGTTTCTTGCTTCTAAGTCATCCCCGACACATGCAATAGCTTGGTAATGGCTTCATGGGTAACTCCTAATTCTAAAGCAAGATCTTCTTGAGTTTGGCACGAATCCTCTTCGAACAAGGCCTTCAATTTAGCGTTTTTGAAGGTTTTGGCCTTCCTTCACGAGGGTGGTCGTCAACATCAAAATCACCATTTTTGAAGCGACAAAACCCTTCACGGCATGTTGTTTCGCTCAGAGCAACATTTCCGTAGGTCTCGATGCACTTAAATTCCCGTTTTTTTTTTGAAAAGAAGACGAAAATCAACACTCCTCGCAAATAAGGATTGTTTGGCATAAAATTGGACATATTCACTTAACCAGAAGTATATAATGCAAAAACGAAATCAATTATGTGTCGCAGCAGTTTGTTTACTTACTCTAAGCTTGCTTCAAGACGTTTTGGATTTGTCAAAATCGACCAACCCTTACTGCTAGAGCCATATACTGACAAACAGCGAGAACTTAGTTGCGCACCTAATATGAGGAACGAAAGTACAAAATAATAATACAATTCCGAATGTTATTTTAAGGAGATATGACTACTCGTACATACAAACTTACAAGACCCATTCGGCCTTAGTTGGGACATTAGTTGACACTGTGAAAAGTTCTTTTCCGTGACGACCTCGAATGGACCTGGTTTCGGCAACTTCTTTGTATCTCAAAAACTAGAGCTGATACAAAAAAATGGTTTGCAGATTTGAAATCAGCGCAAAAAATACTATAAGAATCAGCTCTAACATTTGAGGCACCAAAAAAAAAACTTTTTTTTGTTGGCCTGTGTTATTTTAAGAAATGTTTATTAACTGTCTTTTATATATATATATATATATATATATATATCAGTTAATAAATATTTCTTAGACTAATTATTATATTCGAATATTGATTTATAATATAATCGGTTTCTAAATCAGTTTAAAAAAATAATTTCAGTTCTAAAAAGTCATTATTTCATTTAAAAAATATTTAGATTGGATAAATATTATTGATTTGTTTTATGTTAAACAATAATGTTAATAGAGTAACAAAATTTAATAATATTCATAGTTTGTTTTCATTATTGCTTCCAAAATTATTCTGTATTTAATGTACTTCTTTTGAGATATTTTTGTAAATATATAAATAAGTTAATTTGATTCTTTTATTATAATATTTATGTGCATTTTGATTTATACTTTAGATACATATAAATAAAAATTTTATAACGACTGTTACCATGAAAATAAGAGCGCATTCAAATATCCCGCCATACTGTTTGACATGTAGCACATGCAGCGCCTCTATGCAAAATTGTTCCCAGTTCTTTGGGAACTACGTAGTGACTACCGGGTTCATATGGTTCTGTGTTAGATGTCGCAACCGACGTCAAACATTTCTTCATCAATTTGAATTTATCAAGTTAACCCTTTCGACTCGGATACCGCCGCTACGGCGGCAAATTTCATATAAATCTCGGAATTTGCGAGTGAAAAGGGTTAATACAATCAACATTTTACTCAATTTGAATACTTTTTTAATTGTTTGAATTGATTTGTACATCATTATATATTGTCTAGTGTACGTGTTTTGTATGGAAATTGGATATATAAATGTATATATTGATTTATACATCATTATATATGGCCTAGTGTATGCGGTTTGTATGGAAATTGGATATAAAAATGTATATATTGATTTATAAATCATTATATATGGCCTAGTGTATGCGGTTTGTATGGAAATTGGATATATAAATGTATATATTAATTTATACATGATTATATATGGCTTAGTGTTTGTGGTTTGAATGGAAATTGGATATATAAATGTATATATTGATTTATACATCATTATATATGGCTTAGTGTAGTTGGTTTGTATGGCAATTGGATATATAAATGTATATATTGATTTATATATCATTATATATAGTCTAATGTTCGTGGTTTGTATGGGAATTGGATATATAAATGTATATATTGATTTATACATTATTATATATGGCTTAGTGTTTGTGGTTTGTATGGAAATTGGATATATAAATGTATATATTGATTTATACACCATTATATATGGCCTAGTGTAGTTGGTTTGTATGGCAATTGGATATATAAATGTATATATTGATCGATACATCATTATATATGGCCTAGTGCTTGTGGATATATATATATATACTATTTTATCTATACTGTATAATTTATTTGTAATTATATTAATAAAATTATGAATTTAATTTAATTCTTTTATTATAATATTTATGTGCATTTTATTGAATATTAAGGTTGCTTTTGGCAAAAAATAATTAATAGCCATATACAAATATCAATTTTAAATCAATTATGAACATTTAATTACTATTAATTAAACACATTATTTATTTTGCATATTTCTTTGTTTTAATTGAAAATAGTTACCCCTAACATTTTTGCTGTCGGCCCTGTGTACACTATGAGTGCCATTTTAATTCAAAATTGTGACTGTTCCCCTGGTAGTATACATGGCTTTAGTACGAAAAATATTGAATTCCATACAAAATTTCGTCAAAATTGTTTTGATGTATTAGGAGAGCAGTCACATTTTTACATTTGACACCGCTTTTGCAGCGACACAGGATCATCTGCTGAATTGTTAGGGGTAATTATTTTTAGAATTAGAATATTTTTTAATTTAAAAATGAAATTTAATATTTTGGAATATATTTACAAGTTTTGGTGATTGGGATGTTATTTTAACATTATAATTATTGTATTTGTGGTATAAAACATTGAAAAGAATGTTAAATAGGCATTATATAGCAAAATTGCATTTGAAATATTATTATGACATTAATATTTAGTGTTATATGTACAGCAATGAAAAAACTAGTTATTTGTGAATATCTGAGCAAGTGTTATCAATATAATAATGTGTTATTCGGACTTCAAAATAATCTACATATTTGTTTAAAATATTTAAAGTTGATCAAAATACGGCCCTGCTTTTTTGTGACAAATATTAAATGCTGCGCGCCTGATACAATTTGAGTCAGATACAAAAACATGGAGGACATTCAGTGTTTGGCTGTCGATGCGAAAGCATCGGAAAAATTAATTATTAAATTAATACCTGTGTTATTTTATTGTGATTTCTAGTTTAGTATTATCTGTAGTGCCTAGTGACAAGTTTATAAGAAAATAATAATGGAAAAACGTATTAAATACAAAAAAGAATATAGCCGACTGACGCGGTTTGTAGAAGACATTTACGACGCCTTGGTAAGTCTAGTTATATAATATTTTTTTGACATAATGAATATTTTATATTAAAGGTAAATTCTTTAAGAAAATATTGCTTTATGTGTTCAAGTTAATTTGATAACACAATTGTAATTGGTAAGATAGAAATATTTATTATTTATTAAAAATTTATTGAAAACATGGAAGAGATCTTCAATCAGAATCATTCTTCATTTCAAAATAATTTGAACATAAAAGGCAAAATTAGGTTATGATACTATCCTAGGATGACTGTAAAACGTCTTAATGTTAAATATTCTCTTTAAATATTAAAATTTATGAAATAATAAACACTGTTGTACTTAAATCAATACATAGACTCGTAATAAAATTATGAAAAATATAATCGACAATAGCAAAACTTAGTATTTTGGTTTTTGTGAGACGATTCTGGGTCTTTAATTGACTTTAAAAAGTTATAAGCAATTGGATGTTCATCCGAGCTAATTCTTTATAATTAGCACAAAAGTGTATTGAATTTTAGACCTAAATCGAGATATTACTTATCTCATTTTTTTAAAAATTGTCAATTTCATTGTACAATTATTTCCCACAAATAATGCTATCTGCCAATGTGGTTAATTCTTTATTTTTCTAAAGTCAATGAACACATTAAGATGGTATATTTATTAAATTCAAGATTCTTCATAATTAGCACAAAAGTGTATTAAGTTTTAGACCTAAATCGAGTTTTTACTTATCTCATTTTTTGAGAAATTGTCAATTTTATTATATAATTATTTTACACAAATAATGCTATCTGCTAATGTGGTTAATTCTTTATTTTTCCAAAGTCGGTGAACACATTAAGATGGTAATTTTATTTAATAAATTCAAGATTTTGATATGATATGTATAAAAGTTAGTATAAATACTAGACTAAACAGATTATCGGTAGATTACATCTTAACAAACATATCGATTTTTCTCTAAACATTTAATTATAACATATATGTTATTTTATCTTTGAGGATTTTTATATTGAATTGCACTCACTTGTTTAAAACAAGCTCATTGAGGTTCGGTTTGTAAACAAAATCTATTACCAAATATCACTATTTCTGAATATAATTAATATATTGAAGAATTTTAAAATAAATCTTTCGTAACATTTTATATTAGAATTTTTCTAATGGACATTCAAAGCAAGCTGTATATAAATTTTGCAATTAAATTTGACTAATAATATAATTAGTAACAAATACATATCATTGTGCTATTTTAACACTATCGTGCTAGTCTTTTTAATTTAATTTGATGCCATTAAAATTAACATTTTATGTTAAATATAATTATGCAATATTCGAAATTGTTAATTTTAAACTCGTCTCATACCTGGCTGTTTTATTATATAGTAACTATAACATTTATTATGGATTTAGTTTTGTTAATAACAAAAATAAAATGTATAGAATAATTGAACATCTATAAACGTACATATAACGTTAAAGTATAATTTTATAAATAATTAGGATATTACAATATTAAAATTTACTTTATCATCATCATTAAAAATCAACAGAATAACAATTATTGAACTAACTATTAAAATTAAAACTTAATTTTCAGTAATCGGTAATATAAAATTTGAAAACACAAATTTTTACCTCCACGATAACAATTATTCATAAAATTTCATGTTTGTAATATATATATATATATATATATATATATATATATATATAAATTAGGGTGGTCCTTAATATGGACAATTTCGAATTAATTTATTAATTAAGACCATCTAAATGTTAAATATTAAGAGCTAAAACCTTCAGAGATTTTTTTTTATTAATTTGGAAGCATTTGAGCCTTTGAGAGCAAAGAAATTTGAAAATGTCCATATTAAGGACCACCCTAATATATATGTATGTATAAAGACTAAAAGAAAATGTTAAATTTTTGGAAAACTTCAAATAAATGTTATACATTTTTTATTTAATTTATTATACTTTCTATTAATTTTTAATGATTTTTCATTCAAAAATCGTTTTTTTTAAGATTTAAAAAATGTCTACTAACATAAACAGTTTAAGCAGATCAATAAATTGACTATATTTAAAATATTTTTCAACATAGAACTCTGCAAAAATTATCAACATCAATTATTAAAATTTAGCGTAATAACTAATTTAAAAATAATAATACTATATGACTAATATCGCACTAAAGTTTTATCAAAGGTGGTTTCAAATATTTGTAACTTATATTTAGAATTGATAGTTTAGAAAATTGTTTTGTCATATTTGATAAAAATATGAAACATTTGCAACAGGTTAAACCTGAAATCTAAGCAATTTCAGCAATTTTATTAAAGACAAAACAATTCAACTAAAACATATTATTCTTTTAATCTATTTCCTCTTAAGCACCTAAGTTGCCCAAACCGCATATATATAAATCTTTAATAAAATTTGTACTAAATAGACTCTTCATGAACAAATAATTAAAAATATTTAACATAACATAAATATATCTATATAAATAATGCACGCCTAACGATTTGTCTATAGAAGCTTTGACTAATATTTCATATGGCCAAAAATTTTTTATGATGACTAAGAAGTTTTCTAATAATTTTAATTCTTATATTAATTTCCTATTTTCTGAGGAATCTCTTCGTTTTATATATCTTTCTGGTAGCGTCATGGAATTTTTATCTGGAAGTGTTTTACTTAAATATATACTGTCTTCTATCATAAACCTGAAAATAATTAAACTATTAATACAGAAAAAAAAACTACGTTTATATTAAAACCAAAAAAAAAAAAAAAAATTTTATGAAAATAATTTTTTTAAAAAACCCATTTTTTTTGAAAATTTTGGCAAAAATCTTTGAAATTTTTGAAAAAAAATTGACTTTTTTGAAAAATTTGAATTTTATTTTATATTTCGAATTTTTCTTCTTCGGAACTTTCCTTAACAAAAATTATAATTTTTAAAAAACCTTTAAATTTTTCCTGAAAATTTTGGAAAAAATGAGATTTTTGAGGATTTTGAAATTTTTGTAAAAACTTGCCTTTTTGAGAAATTTGATTTTTTTTAAATTTCGAATTTTTTTATTTCTTTGAATTTTTCTTCTTTGAAACTCCCCTTACCGAAAATTAAATTTTTTAAAAAACCTTTAAAATTTTTGGTAAAAATGATATTTTTGAAAATTTTGAAGTTTTTGAAAAACTATGACATTTTTGAAAAATTGTATTTTTTTTTCTTTGAATTTTGCTTCTTCGAAAGTTTCCGTATCGAAACTTAAATTTTTTTAAAAAAACATTTTTTGAAAAGTGAAAAAATGAGATGTTTGAAATTTTTGAAAAAATGAACTTTGAAACATTTGAATTTTTATTATATTTCGAAATTTTTTTTATGCTTTGAACTTTCCTGAAAGTTTTGAACTTTTTTTTAAAGCAATCGTGCTGCGTGGTTGTTTCAGAGAAGAAATGTCGAAGTTTTGGTTCTTTTTACCTCGTATCTTCGAAACGGCTAGACCTGCCTTTGGCAAAAACTAGTAATTACGTCTCCTTATCAATACAAATCAAATATTTTTTTAATTATTCAAATCGGTTAATCCGTGTTCTCAAAATCGTCGACGAAAATTTGTATCCGCACACACACAAATATCCATTTTTTCTGAGGTATGCCAAAATGTTCAGAAACCTTTGAAACGTAAAGATATATAAAATTTTCCATTTTCGATTTTTTTGCGATTACTATACTTACCCTACAGGAAGTTAAAAAACGTACAGACAAATTATATGTAGTATAATTAAATAAGTGTAAACTACAGGAAAAATATATATTCAACAAAAAACATGATATTACCTGTAGAAGTATACATGAACAAAAGTTGTGGACAAATGCCACAAAGAATGAGCGTCAAAAATCCAGAAAATCGGTGGAAAATCTGCTAGTTCCAAAACCGGTCCAACAATAGCAGATAAAAACATAAATATAATACAATTTTTCACATACGGTAGTTTATTCTTGTTGAACCAACACCAAATTAACCACCCTAAAATACTTGCAGTCGCTGAAATAAAAATATATGTTAACAACAAAAGAATAATCGTATATGCTTGTAATAAATTATACATTATCCTTTACCTATTGTTACCGTGATCTGCATATGATAAGCGTAATCAATTCTGGTACCACTCAAAAGTTTGACGTGGTTGAAAAGTAAAATGGCACAAAAACAACTGAATGCTATTGAGAAGATTTGATGTAATCCGACCAAGACCCTCATTCCGAGACAATAGAAGTAGGATAAAATTATGGCAAATGCAGAAGCATAGTCCATAAATTCAGTGAAGCGCACATCTCTAGTGTGAAATATCATTGACCAAATCCAACCGTTTATTGAAACCTAATAACATAATATTAATTGAAACAATACAAGTTTTTTGGAGTAATAAATTGTTTGTATATGAAGATATTTTATTACCAGTGCAAAAACGTTCCAAACGAAATACATGGGATATGTTCGGTTCAATCTTTTCCTCAGCTTTCTGTATAAATAGTAGACTGCATAAAAGTTTGTGAATGAAAATAAAACTGAAGCAAATTCTTGAAAGCATAATACTCTTTTGAATGGCCACTGAAAAATGAAATAAATGTAGCAATTAACACAATAGATCATTTGATATTTTATTAAATCAGACGTGAAAAATAATTTTGTAATGGAATTACTTTACCTTTCCATCAAATTGTGGTGTGGACCATTTTCGCTCTTTGAAGCTTTCCACCGTTTTCCACATACAATTATATCTACAATCATCGTTACAGTGCCAGTGTACAAAATCATTTAATACATTTGTGTCCGATGGATCTTTAAAAGATTGTACTGAAAAATAATGCACAAACATATAATAGTAAATCAAAAATTATCGGAAATAAAAACTATATAAATTATATGGGTTGATAAAAAAAAAAAAAACAGGACAAATCAATTTCTGAGTCCTAATAAAATGTAACATGTTATAGAAGCTACTTCTCATTTAAGAAAAATTAATAGCAACAAGAGAAAACCTCGAACAGACAGTGAACATTACAATATTGAAGAAATGAGAGATCCAAAAATTATATCTGGTTAGTAGTTAATAATAGTATTAATAAAAGCTTATCGAAACGAGATTCTTTTGTATCTAGCTTTTTAAATATGGCCAATAATACATCAAGCAATACTGAAAAATTCAAACATTGTACGAAGCATGATAACTGTGACAAGTATTAAACATTGAGCAGAAAAAATATCTAAGGGAAAGCTTTCATTAGAATCTCCACTTAAAGTTAAAAACATTAAGGAATCATTGTAATTAACAAAAATTAATAGCAACAAGAGAAAACCCCAGACAGACATCAGTGAGAGATTAAAATACTGTGGAAATAAGCAATTCAAAAATTACAACTGTAAAGTTAATAATAGTATTAATAAAAGCTTATAAAAACAAGATTCCCCTGTATATAGCCTTTTAATTATGGCCAATAATGCATTGAGCACTTATAAAAACTTCAAACATTGTACGATGCATATCTGTGACAAGTATTGAACATTGAGCAGAAAAAATATATATGAAGAGAAAATTTCATTACAATCTCCAACTGAAGTTAAAAACATTAAGGAATCATTGTAATTAAATATACATTACATTGAACTTTAAATTATGACTTGTTTCATAAATAGTAAATATAGGTTAGGTTAAACACTAAACTTAAAAAGCAAAGTGTAAATAAATTCCCTGTTGGCCTTAGACAACAAAAAGCTTATGTATATATAAATTATAAGTATGTATACATAATATATCTTACAATCAACACATTTTTCTTCCAAACACTTCCTGACGCAGTTTCCAAAATAAGGCGACCTGTCACCTAACGAAGCCTCGTTTTGACATATTAACAAAAAACAAATAAATAATTACAAAACAATTATAATAACAGATCATTGTCATTATTCAATACTTTCGTATTGCAAACACCACACACCATGCCACATGAATTTCTGCATTTTGTTTATCAAACTCATTATGACAGATAAGAAATTGATAACAAATAAATTTTGGGTTTGACCTCGATTTGATCGGGATTACATTGGATTCCGAATGGAATCCGATAGCATAGCGATCCTGGATAATACATTTGACGTTTCGTTAGTACCTGCTTCGTACGCGCATTCTTGGTGGCGCTTACGGCGATTTTTTGATACAGAATTTAACCGTTAATTTTTAAAAGCGACAATATATATACATATATATATATATATATATATATATATATATATCTTCTATATATATAAAAATAAGTCGGGTTTTCCTTCCTGACGAAATAACTCCAGAACGCACAATTTCGACAATTTTGCATTCGTTGGAGGTCTCGGGCTCCGCAAGGTTTATAGCTAAGAAAATTAGTGGTGCCTTAATGCAAGTTTCTGGAACTTCACGCACCGTAATTAAAAATTCGAGTAATAACATTAGTGAGAATTATCAGTATTATGCTTGGTTAAGTCAACGAGCAATTCTTGCCGCAAAGATGAATGATGTACACGCACTGAATTTCACCATTCAATCAAAAATTGCTGGCGATTTGGTGACATACCAATGATTCCGACTGGTCTTCCGTTTGACTTCAAACGATTGCAATTTCCAGTTCGCCTTGCGTTCGCAATAACAAGTCGCAAGGCCAATCGCTTAGCGTTTGCGGGATAAATTTTAAATAGATTATTTAGAAAATCATTGTTTTTCACATGGGCAGTTATACGTTGCCTGTTCACGAGTTGGAAAACCATCCGCTTTGTTTGTGTTAACGTCAGACCAAAAAACAAAAAAATGTGGTTTACCAAAGAGCACTTCAATGAAACGGATAATTTGCGGATTCACTTTTATTAACTTAGAAAAGTTCAACTAAAAAGCATTTCATTTTTGTAATCGAAATAAATTCATTACTGTTGTACAATAAAATCAAATTTTTCCTTTTCAAATATAAAACAAACAAAAAATTTCTTCATCTTTCTCACGAAATCATCTGGTGGCGAAACGGAGTTCGTCGGGTTTGCTAGTATATATGTATATATATATATATATATATAATATATATATATATATATGATAGTTTTGTCGACGTTGATACATATTTGTAATATTTTTGCAGCCCAATCGTCGAATTAAAATAAGATTAAATAACAAAATTATATATTCCATTAAACGTTTCGACACTGGATGTGTGTCATCATGTCTAAAAAACATATAACATAAATACAAAGTTGATGATAAATATAAACCAGGAAAAACAACAGAAAAAATTAATTATGATGTAAAATTGATTGAACACAAATTTGTGTAAAATAATAAAATACTATATTATATTAACAAACGAGAAATAGAAGAAGCACATATTGCCCTCCTATATTTAATGTTATTGATAGCGGTGCATTGTGGACACTGATCAAGGTTACAACGCAGCGATTTGTGAGAAACGAAAGGGGAAAGAGAAACAGAGAAGAAATATAACGAATGAAAGATTCTATTCGCATAAAGTGTCGAAACGTATAACAATAACGAAATGTTTTTTAACTCATTTTTTTATTTCGACGAATGAGTTGTTTAAACATTTTATTGAGTCTCCGTAACCGCTGGATCTACCTTCCTCAAAATTTAATCAATTTTTTGCTTAGTCAATACCAGAAAAATGTTTTTTGAATGATTCAAATCGGACGCTCTGTTCTCTCGAAGACTAAAATGACATTTTTGGCATTTTTTTTTACCCCGTATCTTCGAAACGGCTGGACCTGCCTTTGTAAAAAACTAATCAGCATGTCTCCTTATCAATAGGAATCGAATGTTTTTTGAATAACCTAAATCGGTTGATTCGTATTCCCTAAATCGCCGACTGAAAATTGTATCCGCACGCACACACACACACACACACACACATCCATTTTATCTAAGGTAGGCATGTTCAGAAACTTTGAAACGTAAAGATATATAAAAAATAACATTCTCAAATGAGTTCTCAAATTATGTGTCTAGAGCTCTCAAATACACTATATTTAACACTAAAAATACTCCAATACAAAACACAATTTATTTCAGTTAAATAATGTATTTATTAGAAATATATTTATATATTTATAAATTATATAAATTAAATTTTATCTTGATAATGAAATGAAATGAACAAACATATTTATTGATTTTAAGCTCCATGTAATGTTGAAACATATTAATAAAATGTTATCACAATATGATTTTCTTAATGTCTTAAATTAAAAGCAATGTGCTTACATCATATTAAATATATCCAAGAATTAATAATCAAATTATTTATCAATATTTTGTAAACTAAATTAACAATCAAGATCAGAAAAACAAAATTGTTATATTAGCTGCACAGTAAATATTTCAATATTAAAAATACTATAGTTAATAGATGATAGTAACATGGTGAACTTAAATTTACTAAATGTTTATCACAATTCTAATTACGAGTACTAAAATTGAGTTTCATTTTACAAAACATCAATAATCAACACAGACCCAAATTAATACCTACTATAAATAATAATAATAATAATAAATATATTAAATAAATAAATAAGTGATTCAATAATAAATTCAAATAGCAAAGGCACCTTTATATATAGTTAAAAATTTGTAGTAAGTGCTTTGGAATTATCACTAATATCACTGCCAAATTTTTATTTAAAAACAAATTAATCCTATTAATGGATCCAAGACAGGTTCATTAATTTAGGTCTATGGCTTCGGCTTTAAGGGGTGTACACCACTGTAGAGTTTTCAAAAAACCAAAAAAAATAGAATATAAAGAACAATAAAATCTAAACATTGTGATTTCCAAGAGAACTTTCTCAAACGCACTTGAATTATCTGAGAACATTGTTACATGCATTTATAAATTATATAATTATAAAATATAATCTAACCATTAGACTTTTTTTTCAAATTTCATATAAAAATATATTCATTTTTATATATATGCACTTTGAGCTATGCCGATTTAACCCTGTTATATAATTTAAAATGTTTAACAAATAAAGACAAAAAAAATATTAAATAAACTAACGTTATAAATCTACTTATCATAAAAATTTAACTATGTATCATCAGTATAAGTAGTTTTAGTCAACACGATTATTTGTACTAATGATGATACCAACAACATTATACATTTTTTCCCATGTATAAATATAATTTTTAAAAAATCAACATATATATTAATGGTATTAAAAATATATCTCTTTTAGTTTAGAACTGATAGTAACTTTGTTATTTTTAAAATTTGATTTATTTAATAAACTATTACTAATCTTTTATCATATTTTGAGCGCTGCTTACATCTGATTCAATGCGAAGCATTCGATTACAATCGGCAGTCTCTAACGAATCAGGTGTTACAGGATTGGAAAAACATTCTAAACTCAATCTTAAGGCAGCCTGCAATTGTAATATATAAAAAAAACATCAAAGCTGTCAATGTCATGTTTGAAAGTACTATTATTTAAAATTTTAAAATATCTATAAATATTGGAAATTTACTTTACCTGTAGTTCCTCATCATCGGTCGGAATTGGTTGTATTTGTATAATTTCCTTTACACTATTACTCTCGCCCTGCAAACTTAGAGAAATTGCTTTTTGCAAATCTTCATCATCATCTGAAGAAATAGCAGTAGATTCTTGTTCCGTAGAGTGAGCTAACGGCTGATCAGTCTCTAACGTTATCGGAATTATATGCTCTTTACCATTAGGTATAGCAATAGGTGATTGCTCCAATGGTATATTTATAGTTGGCCTAAAACAAACTAATTTGTAAATCTAAGTTATATTAAATATAACTAAAATAATATGTCGATACGAACCTTTCTGGTTCAAAAATCATGTATGTATTTAAAATAAATTACATACATAGCAAATAGAAAATTAAAATTGTTGCTAATACGAATAGCACTTTAGACAGTAAACTGTTTTCAAAAATGTTATGGTTATTGGTAATTGCATATAAGTACCTAAGGGAGAGTTGTGTTTCATTAACTAATTTATCAGCATCACACTGTGGAAAAACTCCAGACACTACAAATATTGTGTACCCTGACGATTGCAACTCGTTAAGAAATTCAGCAAGATAAGTGTCACTCATGTATTTAGGCCCCGAGAGTAAAGAGTTAAGATTAAACCACTCATAGCCAAATTTTCGGATACAAAACCAATGATTTTGGTGATGACAAATGAATGCGTTCATCATGCTAGGATCAGCACGGGCGCTTAGGGCTTCTGGTTCACTGCTCCAGTAGTTCACTAAATCCAATCCCCACAGGGATAAGGCTTTACTTATAACTTGAACTGAGAAATAGCCAGTGTCATCTAGATTATTAGAGGGCTGCTGGAGAAATTGTTGGTATTCATCAGAATCAACTCCGTTCTCAGCCATCTGTTCTCTTTCCTCATCATCGAGCTTGTTTGCTATTATACTTAATTTCTGCAGAAAAATATGGGCCTTGCAATAAAGCATTTAGACAATGCTGAGCACACAAACGACCGTCTTGCTAAAAATGAATACACACAATTACAATTACATTAACACATAGAAACAAAGTATGCAATTTACCTTCTCATGAAATATGATATCCATTTTTGTTTTAACGTTTAAAATAAATAAACAAAACGCTTTTTCAATCAACGAGTTACAATATATTTACAACACAAATTAATCATAACTTCAAATAGGTGCATTCCGTCATATTACCATTTATGACAAGTGACAGTCGATGAGATTTCTTATGCAATCTGGTAACATTATTACTCCCAAACATACCACGCAAAATAAATATTCAAATATAATTTGGAGTTTTTTTTAAATTTATATAATCATAATCAGGTTGATTTACTAAAATAGGAAGTGAACATGTCAAATTTTTGAATCAGAACATAATTACCGGTTTTACTTTGTTTTTGATTACGAACTTATTTCGTAAAAGCTTCCATAGTAGAAAGGAATTTCAAAGTTAAGGTAGTTCCCGTACCAGAATTAAATATTCGAGCAAAAAAATTAATAATCAATAAATTTCAATAGTTTTCAAAAAGATAATTATTTA